CGTAGTGTCTCCAACGTACTTTCAATTTAACACACAAACCTCCACCAACGATCAGAACCACACCCAACAGCTCACACACATACTTCATTCCCACGCATATCCTCACTCACAGCCAAACCCACACCTATACCCAAACCCAAGATCACACCGTATCGCATATCGACCGAAAAAGTCCAATAAATAGCGAACTCGAAAGTCAGAGCCACAGCGGCATCAACATCCACACCCAGACCCACGACTGGCTACCTCAATAGCCATAGCCTCAGGCTCGCCCACGCCTGGCGACACTCACAGCCGCGGCTAAATGTACAATCATGCGCTTTTACACTAACATGAGCACTCGACCAGCCCACCATCCAAACCCACCGGCAAAATCCGCAGCCACTACCGAAGCCACACCCACACCCACACCCTCAAGATTGTAAGATATTTGCCTCCTGCTTGACGAATATTTAAGCCAGTCTGTTTATTGTGTGTTGAAGATTGGGGTAAGACATCAAAATCAATGTGTCATTGTCGATTTCATCAGGACAAACAACTTGGATTACAAGGACACGTATTCTGAATCGAAAATAGATATACGAGTGTGGATGTCAATTCTGAAAATGAGGTTTCCGCTTTCTACCTAATCAGACATGTCCTTGTATTATAGATATGCAAAGTACATTAAGAGGGTCGGATGGAATGCTTCAAATTCCTTGCCGGTTTTGCCTTAAACCGATCAATGCATTCTATTTGAAGGAACATCAGGTATTGATACATGACGAAAGACTAGTAAAAATAATTCATTTTTTTCATCATCCCACAGAAAATATGTATAAAGAACGAAAGCTGGCGCGGGCATCTAGTTCCGTAAGTTGATTCTCTCGAATTCGTTCAAATAGAACTATTACTCAATTCAGACGTAGCAGCCGATTTTTGAATGGCACAGCGCACTGCGCTTTTTGTGGTCGACTCCAACTGCTGGAAGATCTCGCTCTGCATGAGGTTTTGCTTTTTTTCTAAATTTGGTTTCTCAATCTCTCTTTCGATTTGGCTGTCTAGTATGAATGCTCTCACAGAGGAAAAATACGACGACGACTTTATCGGCCACTTTCCTCTTTGAGTCTTCCACGAGCTTCTTCCTTGCTTTCGACAGATTACTTTTGGGATACTTTTGATCATCCAACTCAGTGCATGATTTGTAATAAATGGGTTCCTCTCGATGACTATATTAATCATCTGGTGAGAGCTTTCGACAGTTGTATACTTTGAGTTCCTCATCAACTTTTTCCATTAGGAAATATGTCGCAAAGTAGAAGAATGGCGAAACAATGAAGAAATACGGTTAGTAAATCGTCTTTCATTCCGTCATAAATTCGAACCGTGAACATATCTTCGCTAGACGCAGTCATGACTACGCCTATTATCCACTTACCTACTGCAGATACTGTTCTGTACTCTATTCATGGGAAAATATTGCTGATCATGAGGTGATTAATATGCAGTGTGACGCTTTTTAAAATTTCTAACGCCCTTATTCTTTACTAGATATTGTGTTATCAACTAAAAGAACAACGACGACGACGACGACGACGACGAGAAGGATTAAGGTGTCCTGCATTTGTTCAATTAACAACATAAATTGTTTCATATCTAATTTAGAGATCTCGATTGGATACCTCCTTCTTCGACTTTTCGATGTGTTTATTGTGACCAACTGATCTCTCTGAGCTTTTACGGCACGCATCTGGTGACGTCTTCTTTCTTTTTATTCTTATAGCTTGTGCTCTAACTTTTTACTATGCTGATCTAGAGAAAATATTGCGAATACAATCCATGGCAAAGGAGCATTGAATTACAGTAAGTTTCTTGTTATCCATTATAACAAACTGAATACTTGTCTTCCATTTAGACCCATTTATCATGACGTTTCTGTTATTACTCGCGAATGCTTTTACTGTGGTAGAAGCTTCTCGATCGATGATTGTTCTTTTCATGAGGTTGTGATATGGGACGTTTCTTCATGTCTTCATTGATTTTGTCTATTCTTGTAGAGATATTGTACAATGAACCCTCGTCGTAACAATAATGATTAATTGATTCTTGCTTGACACGCAAGAATCACTTAATAATTATTGTTACGCCTATGGGTCCTTCTAC